CTCTTTCCCCACTGGCCCTGGCTTTGTTGACTCTATACCATTATTTGGTATTTATGATATGGTTGCCTTGATAATTTCTCTCTTGGTCAACAATTCTGTCGAGCAAGTACCCTCCTTTCGTTATCTATAGCGTTCTGCAGTTTTTCCTGTTGCAGTCTTGCTAGCCCACCCTGACCTGGGAGCTGCTAGCTGCATATACATCATTCCCCTTTTGTTATCTGTAGCATCCTGCAATTCCTCATGTTGTTTTCTTGTTAGAGGTGTCACAAGTCAGGATTAGCCACCTGCATGCATACCTTAATGATTTTGCCAAAATGATGAACGATCCAAGAGCAGTAGCTTTGTACCCCCTGAGAACTAAGAAAAAAGAGCACCCAAAAAAACCCCATCCACACAGTACATACCAGCACAAGCCCAAAGCATTTGATTAAAACTCCAGAGTATATCACGCCTCTAGGGTAACTTGATGGGCCATCCATTGGGGAGGCAGCACTCTTGGCAGATATGCACTAGCTGAAGTACACTGGTCTTTGTAAATGTTTACAGTTTATATTAATGGCATAAGACCAAGGTCCTCTATTACTTTAAACTGTCATAGCTCCAAATGACCCTGTGCTTCAGGACACCATATCCTCTACTCTTTTGCATCCCCACTAGACTTACAATACATTCTTAAAAGAGTCTATGTTACAGAAGATGACTAGAGAAGTAAATACATAGAAGAAAAGACTTAACCTACCTAACTTTTCTATAACTGTATTTTTCTTAACCATGCTCCTGAAGAATCTACTGAAGGTATAGTGGAGCTTCTTATTTGAAATAGGACATCATCCAGGGTAAATGTTAAGTTCCACAGGCTTCCAAGAGCTTCTAATTGATCTTCCTAGTTTAAAACTCATGGAAGAAAGGAGTCCTTTCCCTTCATCTAACAGAGCAAGCAGGATAAAATGTTGTCCAAGGGAGGATGGCAGAACGGTAAGTCCTTTGTTAAACTGAGGTTACGTGGGCCAGCTTGACATTTCCCAGCATAATATTTTTGGTGGACTTCTGATTCATCAGATATATTTTGCTGAAATGCAGGAGTCAGTAGCAAGGTAAGTAATCTTCACTCATTTATATGCAAACAAATCCTGAGCACACTCTACAAATACTAATTTGCATAAGCCATTTCTACCTTGAAAGAGATATGCAGTCCAAGTAATTAAGGGTTCATTAAATATTTCAGTCGGGTCAATTCTGTGACTAGAGTGGTCCGTTATGGCATCAGAAATTCAGCGTTACAAGCCAAACCATGGCTTAGAAAAGATTTCTTAACGAACTATATGATCAGTATGAACTTGATCCTTTTGCTTTAACTGCAGGATCAAATAGGAGAAAAAAATATCCTAAGCTCAAAGACACCTTAAATTGCAAATGTGATAAAGTATAAGATTTGTGAAAGGTAAAATTGAAAAATTAAGGTTATTTGCTTTATTTGAAAGCTTACTATAAAAGAAATTTATCTAAGAAAAATTTGAAGTTAGTGTGAATATATGATATGTTGCTGGGCACCATAATGTAAATGGGATTGAATGTCCAGGACTGCGAACTGTACTATTGGCTCTAAGATGCACTGATTCCTTACCTATTCTTATGCTAAGTTATTAACAGTTTGTCACTTAAAATCTCAGTTTTAAATCAAAATTCAAGTTAAATTCAGTCAATCATATTTTCTGCCAACAGCAGGAGATCCTAGCTTTCCTAATAAGATAGCTTTAAATGTCTATATCCAACATCTCATTCATTATTAGAGCTCCCTTGAACCCTAGTTCTTGCTAAATTTCAAGGCATTATGGTGACCAGTTTTCAAAAACAGGACAAAAACCAAAAACCCACTTTAACTAACTAAATTATGTAGAATTTGTAGATACTCCTTAATCTATATTAGTAATTGAGAGCTGTGAAAGGGAAAAATACCTCCAGAGGGAGTGATAACGTACACTTAACTAGAACATTATAGAGTCCTGAGGGACAGAGCCTATTCTCTCATGTACAGTGTAACAAACCTACCATAGCTAGGCTTCTTTCAGACTAGAACTAGCTTCCTTCTGATCAGCTCAGAATGTAGATAGAGGAGCTCAAGTCACTTTGCATCTGCCCATAACATACCCCAGATTAACAGAATTAAATTTAAAAGGGATAATGCAATGGCATCTGCTTATCTATTGCACTATCTGCAGATGAGATAAATTGAAATTTCTGATCTCAGATACAAAATGCTAGCATATCACATGGAAACAGATACTAGTTATAACCAAGATTACAAGTGCCTCTTATCTGCAAATTTCATACTGTTCCATAATAAGCCTCACATTGAAAATATTTCTTGTTTAAAATATGTGCAGATTGCAACTTCAGTTTCTCACATGAGAAAGAGATGTCTCTGTGGCCAAAACCCACTAAAGTTGTACTAACAGAGCATCTAGCTGATCAGTTTTGTTGTCAGAAACTACTTTCCCTTTAACATTTATACACAATTGAAAATACATAACATAGGTACTGGTTAGTTTCTTAGCATAGAGTCTGATAGCAGGAGTTTCTGTAAAACTAATGACATACCCAAAGTTCTAAGGCCATCTCATGCATCTAACATCAGGAAAGAGTAAAAAAAAAACGCATTAGCAGAATCAACCAAGGGCAACTACTGCTCATTTATTTCCAGGTGTGCATCTATGCTGGAAATAACAGTCCCATCCTGCAGCATTCAAGTCTTCAGAAAAAGCTTTTAGATAAAAAGCTATAGAGTCAGATCACTCCATTTGCTAGATCAACTCAGCAACATCAGGCTGGCCTGAGCTTCTGTACAGCACTTGTTCTGTAATTAGGGGACTTTGGCTTCCTCAACTGCAAAATAGTCACCAAAGATTAAAAAAAGGGGGGGAGGATCTTAAGGAATGGATAAGATACTATAATAACCTGCACAATCCTCCTTCCTAGCAGCTATACCTACACCCTGCTCTCTCCCTTTTTCTATCATTGTTCCTTTGTCTACCATTATTCCCTTCATTCCCCACTCCACACCTTGTACCCTACTCTCCTTTATTCAGCAAGCACCAACCTACAGACTTCCCCAGGCCATGTACTGCAGCCTCCCAGAGTCACAGGGCACCGGACCCTATCGTGCTAAAGGGGGATGAACAGCTGACTCACCCAAAATCAGACAGCCGACAGAAAAGGGGGGGGGGGGGGGGGGAAAGGAGAGTCATGTGTTAGCCAAGCTAAATCAATGAGACAGAATCCACTAACATCTAAAGAATGTAAGCACTAAGGAGAGAGGGATTTAGCATGCTACAAAATGGCACAACTTGCACTGAAGTAAACAAGGCTTAGAAAATCCATTTACCCCAGATACATGGTAATCTAACCCCAGCAAACAGGGGGAATTTATTTCTTTGCAGAATATAACTTAATTTAAAAAAAATCCAAACTTTGCAGCTGAAGTTGAAAAGATGAACTACACTTAAACAGATGTGATATCGTTCTCCAGACACTACATATTCCTCCAAGGCTCCTGCTGATCAGTTTTCCATGCAGCAGCAAAGTGAAGGCACCATTACAGAAAGGTATCAACCTTTCCCCCTGCACACAATCTGTGCTACAACATTTACCTTGAATGTACCTGACAACAGAAAACCTTACAAATTCACATTTCTTTCAATCAGAGCCCTAAATAGAAAGGAAGATTGGCAACTAAAACATTAAAAATAAATTTGACTTACTTGCAATATCCTGTACCATTCTGATACGGAATGCACCTTCCTTCATTAATACAAGGCTTGGAATCATCCATACACTGTAAAGCTGAAAGAAAAGTAAACGATGGTCACATCACTAGTCATACATGTAAAGTCAAAGCCTCACTAATATATTTTGGGGAACGGAAATGTTATACATAGCAGATTCTGATATAACAAATAAATTTTATATGATGGATCTGGCACTGGAGGGACTCGCCATCTTCGGGCTCATCCTCTTCGTCGTGCTCTGGCTCATGCACTTCATGTCCATCATCTACACGTAAGTGTGGCCTGGGAAGTGTTGGGGGTGGGATGGCTCCAGGGTTCCCTCCCGCTGCGCCCCTCCTCCCCTTAAAAAAAAATCTCTCTGGGCCTGGGGAGCCCCTCAGGAGCAGAGGAAGGGGCCAGTAGGCTTTTATTATATTTATCTTCCCCCACATCAACAGTGTTACCCTCAGGTTAGACCTTGGTCACCTCCCCCTCCTACCAGGCAGCTGTGGGGGAGGGGAGGCTGCTGGGGGCACCCCTTCCTCTCCCCCCCCCTGCCCCCGGTGCAAAGCCCTAATTGCCTGAAGTGAGGGATCAGCTGCTGCTTCCTCTTCCACGCTAACTTTCCTGCATAGGTGCAAACCCATGAATTCATGGACATCCCTGAAATCCCTTTTCTGAGGACATGTGTACTCAGGTGATGATATCTTGTTCTGTCCTCTCCTCCCCTTCACTCCCAGCATAGGATGCCCACTAAGGGGTGGGTTGATGGTCCCCTGTCCCTACTTTACATGTATTCATGCCTGGGACTTACTAGTCTGTGCACGCTAAACATGTTGCTGACTTCTAGCCATCCCCCCTTCCCCCATCCCTGGCCTTGTTTCCTCATATGTCATGTGTTTCAACCCCCCCAGCACATGTACAATTTTACCTCAATAGAAGGCATATCTGCAAGCTTGTATGTTCAAAACATATCAGCATGCTTATATTTCCTGCTGCCTCCTGGCATAATGTTCCATGCATTCAAGTTGTGTGTATGGATTTGGTGGTGGGGGGGTTGTGTGTGGGTTTGTTTTGTTTTCGAGGGTCTAGCTGATATATAAATGAAGACTGAATTCTCAAAACCCCCTTTCTCTGTGGGTCTGTGCTATCTTCTTACTGTTATAGGAGTATGCTCTTTGCTCTCTCATCCTGCAACACTTCTAGGTATGGTTTTGCTTTTTGTTATTGTTTGCTGTTATAGCTTCAAAAAAGAGCGTTTCTGTTTATGGTAGTGGATCTCATGGGCACAACAGTCATAACACTTTTATGTTAATATATAGCTTTCTACCATACAAATAGCACAGTGCAGAACAATCAAGCTAAAACAGTATTAAACACTGAACAGCCAGAATTCTAGTGATAAGTACACTGAGGCTTCTTGAGAATAGCAGTGAATGCCAGTGAAGGTGTTGGTATGCATGTATCTGGACACCTCTCATTAACTTTGAGGAGAATAAATGCTTTAAGAGTTCATGACAAGTATTTGCTTTTCTATGGCTGACAGAAGTATGTCTCCTTGAGCTTTGTGCAGGAATTGTCTGTAGGTAAGGGTGAAAGAACTAAGAATGCATCTTTCATATGGAAGATTTTGTTTTTACTTTCTCTTAAATAAAAGTCTAGTCTTGCATCACTGCACATATTAGAAAATATCTGAATTTCTGTTGTTTTGTATGTATGTGTCTGTCCATTTTTTTCTTGCTGTGCAGTTTTCCTATATGTGAGATGAGTGTCTGGGGTAAGCTCCTGGCCCTGTTGAAATCAAAGGCAAAAACTCCTGTTGAATTCATGGGAACTGTGTTTTTTCCTTCTAGTGTCTTTGGTCTCGTGGTTGCCCTTTTTTTTCATGTAAACCCACTTATGAGCCCTAGTTGTTTTACTGTATTGTAATTTAGTTGCATTTAGATTTCATTTAGGCAATCATATCTCCTTCCTTGAAAGCTAACTGTATGGGTACAGCACACTCTGCCTTTTCCTAGATCACTGAAGTTCTTGGAGGAGCGAGACATCTTTCCTGCTCCTAAGGTATGAAAGGGTCTTTTTTCACTCACATACCAAAAACTCCTATTGAAATCAGTGAGAGAATGTAGTATTAGAAGGGGACTACCTGATGTTTGTTAAAACTATTTAAACTGCACCTCTTATATGAGGTGAAGGAGGAAGATGACACTGATTCTACTATTTCCAGATTTCTATTTGCATGGGCAGTATTGTTTTAACATTTCTTAAAGTGGTTGGGGCAAGACTGTTCTGTACTGTACTTAATAATGCCTAACTAGTGAGTTGTAAGGGCTGATCTGTGCCACTGTAATAGTAAAGATGATATTAAAAATGTTTTGGCCTAAATGGCTCTGCTAAAACAGTCTTCATCCTGCAATTCTGTATTGGTATTTTAGAGGTTTGTTCTAGCAAAGTGCTTAATCACACATGTGAATTCAATAGGTAAATGGATTATGCATGTGTTCAAGAAAGTAAGATTATTCTTATTTTGAGTGCTATCAGTAGTTGTCAATATTAAGTTCATAACAGTATTCCAGTTGTAGGGGTTTATGCTGTAGTTGACTCAAATGTGTAGGTTTAGGATATCCAGAGAACTAAGATGTGTTTTTCGGGGTTTCAGTTGGGGAATAATGCCTGTTCTGACACATGGTATTTGTTGAAACTTAAATCTTTTTGGTTCCCTTTTGACACCTCTTCTTTTCCCATTTCTTCCATGTGCTTTGAATTATTTTGATTTTTACATAAATATATTTTGGTTCAGTGTGTCACATACCCCTTTAAATTAAACAAGTGGGGTGAAACAATGAAATCTAAATAGCCAAACTATTCAGTTATGCCAAATGGTCATCTTTATGAATTACCTAATGTGTGTGGTTATGAAGACAATATTTTGGTTTGGTCCGGTCCCATCTATGTAATCCTGCGTCAGTGAAGTAAATGGAATCAGTGTTGGCCAAATTCTGCAGTAATAATATATAAATAATTATAAGTAATAATCATATTAAATAGACACAGTAAATATATGCAAACTGTAGTAAGGTGGTGACATTTTACCTGTTTCAGTTGAGTTACTATGCATGGTTGTCTACCAGGCTCAGGTTTCTGTGTGTGCATGGAGTCCTTGGAAGAGGAGAGGAATCGCCTACTGATCCAATAAGAAAACTGGAGCTTACTGTTGGGGACTACCTAATATGTTAATTTGAAAGCTCAAGACATCAGCTGAAATCAACTGAAGTTATGTAATAGTATGGGCAGCTAAACTGAATGTCCACAGATGAAAATTAATATATAGCCATGTCTGAAAGGGAAGGCAATGTGTATGATGTACTAATAAGGGAAAAAGGTTTACAATATTGACTGTGATATTAAGAGGAAATGGAAGACTAAATTTTGATATTTTGGTGGTCTACTTAAAATGGTTATTAGTAATCATAATTCATATTTCAATAGAACTTCTATTTAAAAGAGCAGAGAACAAGGCTCCTAAAATCAGAAAGAAAAATAAATCAGAAAGAAGAGCTAAAACAATCTGTCTTCTCAGAGTTTATGGCACTCTTAAGATGCAGCTCACACTTCTGAATCAGTATCTAAAATAGTTTGTGTGGCACTGGATTTATCTGTGTTTCAAAGTGACTAATTCTAGTTTCATAATGAGAGAAATTGTATTTGTGAACATTCAATGTTCTCTTAAAATACAGCTAGAAAACAAAGCATGCAGAAGCTAGAAAATGCTTGGTTATCTCTCTGATTTCAATTTCCCTTTTTGACATTGGACTCTAGACTAAACAAAGTGAAGTCTATCTTGTGTATATATACATGTTTTTCTTAAGTTTCTCACTGTTTTTGTTATTGACAACAGCTTTTTCAATTTGCACATATGTCTTTGTATTTGGTGTGCTTATGTATTCTGGGACTGAAGGGAGGGAAGGGATGGCCTTCCAGTTAAAGAAATGGAATTCCATCTTTGATAACTGACAGAGGCAAGGCTGAAAATCACAGTTCCTATGTGATGCTGGGCAAATTGACAAGCTACAAATAGCTTTAACAGTTCATTTCCTGAGTATGTGACATGTGGAGTCATGTTTTGAGCGTCCATCATTCTTGTAACTGTTGTCAATAGGGATTCTGATTACAGCTCTCTGATAAAATGTTAAGTAGTCAGGGGAAAAAACCCAAACAACTAGTAAGGTGATGCTTCAGGATTTTATTGCCTCTGTTCCCCAGATGTAATGATGATACCATGTCATTTAATAAATGAACGTATTGTTGTGTTTATCTTTTAAAGAAATAAAGCTATTATGTATTGCACAGAGCTCAATGAGATAATAATAAATTCTATATTCAGTACTGAGTTTTGGATGCACAGTAAATAGTACATGTGGCTCTCTACTGAATGAACCTAATTATTTCCTAATTGGGCAGACTGTATCCTGTTTACTGAGTGAAAGTTGTACTGAGTACGCTTAAGTTTTTTGTTGAAAACAGTTGAAGGTAACTAAAAGCTTTATCACAGTGACTATGCAGAAGGGCAGCAAATAAAGGTTGTACAGATATTGGAAATCTAAGTTTTCTGTAGTACTTATTGTATAACTTGAAGAGACTTTTTTTCCCTCTTCTTCCTTCCCCTAAAGCATAACTTTCAACTTAAACCTAAGTAAATAAAAATACACCTGCAATCTGAAAGCCACTGCCATGTGGAATCATAGTGATGCTCTCTTGGATAATATAGGATTGTAGGATAATACATTTTTGGAAGGGGACCTCAGGAGCTCTCTAGTCCAACCTCCTGCTCAAAGCAGGGTCAGCTATGAGGTCAGACCAGGTTGCTCAGGTTTTTTATCCAGTCTTCCAATCTTGTCCTGCATGGAGACTGCACAACCTCTCTGAGCCTCTGTTTTACTGCTTGCCTGACCTCATGGTAGAAAAACTTTTTTTTCATCTCCAGTCTGAACCTCTTTTGTATATTGTTTCTCCTCTTCCCATGATGTGTGTGAAGAGCCTGGCTCTGTCTTCTTGATAGCCTCCTTGTGGTTATTGGAAGGCTGCTATTGAGGGTGCGCCCTGCCCGCCCCCAGCTTTCTCTCTTTCAGGTTAAAGAAGCCCAGTTCCCCATAGCCTCTTCTCATAGGGCAAGTACTCCAGCACTTAACTGTCTTGGCAGCCCTCTGCTGACCTTGCTCCAGTTTATCAACATCTCTCTTGTATTGGGGGGCCCAACACTGGGTACAGTGTTCTAGATGTGGTCTAATGAGT